GGATATCTAGTTTTTGTGCTCTGCCCCCGCAGGCTACAAGGTGTACCCGGGGCACGACGGGCTGACGGAGAAGCGGAAGCAGCGCCGGATCCGAACCACCTTCACGTCGGCGCAGCTCAAGGAGCTGGAGCGGGCCTTCCAGGAGACGCACTACCCGGACATCTACACGCGGGAGGAGATCGCGCTCAAGATCGACCTGACGGAGGCGCGCGTGCAGGTGAGTCACACCCTTCGTCACGCATTCGACCCCTTATTGATGTCACTCGATTGTCGTCACTCTGTAAGACGGTAGCGCTTTTTAATGGCTCAGTGTCACCCGGCCGTCAAGTGTGTGTACGCCTCCACGTAACATGCACGAGAAAATTTGTGGAAAAATAAGAAGGAAAATTTTCGGAAATCTTTCGGAAATTTTTCGCAGAATGTTTTATGAAATATCCAACCCCGGGAAAACTATGGGCTACACATGTAGCCTGTACTAAGGGTATTTCCAGTAAGAAGCAAACGATACATTATTCATGCCAGGCCTCTGTTTGAACCACACATTTGAGCAAAAGCTGTGAGATATATTGGGTACGAACCATAAAGATGGAAGTGCTGATCGACCTTCGGAACAGCCTTCGCTTCTATTACCCAGCATGCGTATAGGTTTTCCGCTTTACCAATCATAACTCTGGCCCTATAATGTCCATAAGGCATGATAGGAACATTTGGAAAATTCCAGTCAATTGGGGCATCATGGAACTCGTAAACTCCCTGTTAATAAAAGTCATCACAGACCTCACAGTTATAATACTCCTGTGTTTGAAGTATATGAAGCAGCAACAAGTTTCACTATCCACGATTAAGAAGTCAGAAATATACATAAGTACATACGTAACAGTGTGATGATATCAGACTAAGTACTTACAGGTTTAAAAATGCAGGCGCCTTTAACTTCTCTCTTCTTTAGAACCACCTCGTACCATCCAGGACTATTTACTTTAGCAATTTGGCATGCCTTGTTGTTAAATTTAAAAACAAAGGCGTTTTCCTTCCACTGGTTGTTTGACCGAACATCGACAATTGTTTTCACCTGTTATAATATGATATCGTACGTAAAGAGGGGTGCCCAACTCGACGGGTCCTATTAACGTCATCTGATCTCCCCGCGATGCTCTAATTATAAGTAAGATAATATCGGCAGTAGATAAAAAGGGAAAATTGCTATGTGTTCCTTAGTCTTGTAGGGACACCTGGGAATTTTTACTTTTTCTCTACTGCTGATATTTCTTCCACTCGTAATTACAAAAAGACAGCGCTGCAGAGCCCGAAGTCAAAAGAAGATCGGACGACGTTAGAGCGTCGCGGGAAGATCAGACGACGTTAGTAGGACCCGTCGAACTGTGGTAATCAGGTGTTCACTGACTTGGTAATCACTGGTAATCCACACACTGTTGAAGGTCCTTTCCAAGGGCTAATTTGTTGATTGAGAAACGCATTTTAGCGCACATCTTGCCTCAATGCGAACGCACATGTTATGGCAAGTTTGCATCCGTCCTATGGACAAAAATATTATTTGTCCAATCATAGGCAAATTTGTAACTTGCAAGATAAAGAATCAATAACTACCTAAGATTTGCTCAGAAATGCAACTTTCTCTGGACGAAAAATTGCCGTTTGGATTCAGATAGGCGAATCATGCCTATTATTCATTGGTAATCTTTAATAATCATTGGTAGCGTTGGGTAATAAGTGGTAATCCTTACAATTTGGTAATGCGGTGTACACATTTTTATGGAGTTAGGCACCCCTCGGTACGTAATATGTAGATGGGCGTACCATATTGGCTCCCAGAGTCAATATTCGACTACTACAGTCAAGAATCGATTGAAATAGTTCATATAGTTATTCTAGAAACTTATTAGGTCACCTGTCTGAATACCAACAAATGTAAGGGAGAGTGCCCAAGGAGGAATTTGAGCCTTGACTGTCAGCATGACGTCAAAATGGTCCCTCATTTTGACGTCTTTCTGCACTCATCCGATGTCATTGTGGCCAATATTTGACTTATAGACGTCATAATGAGTCACAATGACGTCAGAATGAGTGCAAAATGGTCCCTCATTTTGACGTCATCGTCATGTTGACAGTCAGGGCTCAAATTCCTCCTTGGGTGGGGCACCAGATGTCAGGGGCACATACTGTCAATGAGCTGGTAATATCAGCCCATTCACTTTTTAAGCCATCAATAGATTGCTCTGCAAATTATAATTTGTGAAAT